TAACCCAGAATTGACAAAGACAGTTATGGACAGTAAAACAGTTATAACTAGTCTGTATGTTCAAAAAGTAGAGACTTGAAAGATATAAAGAAAGACCCAAACTCAACTTCTAGAAATGAAAACTACAATGTCTGAGATGAAAAACACAGTGGATAGGATTAACAGCAGATTAGCTATTGCAAAAGAAAAGATTCATGAACTTGAAGATACAGTAAGAGAAACTATCCAAAAGAAAACACAGAGAGAAGAAAGAATAAAGAAAGTAAAATGTAAAGAGCATCTGTGACCCATGGGACAGTTTCAAGCAGCCTAATATACATGTAATTAAACTCCATGAAGGAGGCATGGGAAGCAGAAAGATACTGAAGGAATAAATAAATATAAAGAAAAAAATATTTGGAAAATATTTTCCAAATATGATAACTACAAACCACAAATCTAACAACTTCAACAAACACTAAGCACAGTAATTATGAAGAGAGCTACACCAAGGTACATGATAATAACAGGGCTCAAAACCAGTGAAGAGGAAATCTGAAAAGTGGCTAGAAAAAAGAAGACATGTTATATACTCGTATAGGAACAAAGAAACAATAGCAGCATAATTCTCACTGGAAACAATGCAAGCAAGAAAACAGTGCAGTAAAATCTTTAAAGCACTGAAAGAAAAAACTGTCAATGTGGAATTTGACACCAGAAGAAAATCTTTCAAAAAGGGAGTGACAAAAAATTTTTCAGACACACACAGGCTGGAAGAATGCACCACTGGCAGATCCACACCACAAGAAGTATTGAAGGACACCCTTCAGGCAGAAGAATGACACCAGATGGAAATGTGANTATGTGATAGATGTATAGGTATTCACCATTAAGGTCTTTCGATTTTTCTGGATGTCTAAAATTTTTCGTAATAAAATTTTGAAGGAAAAAATCATTATGACTGACAGTGTTTCACTGTACTGAAATTATTTTTAAAATACAAGAGTTACATATTTCCTCTTCCTTAGTCCATTGGCTTCTACAACATCAGCCAAAATTCAGCCAATGAATCTACCTCATTCAAGCAGCTATTTAGACTGGAAAGTGTATTTAGACTGGGAAGTGTAGTGGTGGAGAAAGACAGGAAGGAAGAAAGACTGCTTCATTGCTTCCTTATTTCTCTTTACACCAAATTTTAGAAAATAGCAGATAGGAATGTTTACTATATTTACTGCTCAAATACAGAATAATTCCTCTATTTTTTCTTTCTAGATGTGTGAAGGATAACTGATGCATTATAATTATACTATTCCTTTAAAAAAGGCCAAATCTACACACAAATGTGTTGTATTATGATCACTTTCATAAAAGGAACTTTCAAAAATACTGTACATTAAGTTCCTCTATAGGAAGAGCAAAACATATAAAAAGCAAAATGTAAAATTATATACAAAAATACATCTTTATGTTAAAAGGTACAAAAGAACAAAATAACAGCAATAACAGCATTTAAATGCTACATGTTGATTTTGAAACCGTGCCATTTAATGGTTTACCTTCAAGTTCTTCCAGGTGTGAAAGAGTTCCTTGCGTCCTGGGCTGAATGTACGATAACCTAAACTTGGGCACCACAAATGGTACATCTTTGCCATCTGACGGTAATTTGGAAAGTAAATAATCCTCAGTACAGCCCATCTGAGGCTTTTCAGAAACAGAAGTCAATGGAGGTATACAGACAGTTGTATTTTGACTCTTTGAGACCGCTGTTTTATAGTCTTTTTCCGCAGAAACTGCATGTAAAAGAAAGAAAAGGAAAAAATTACCAATATGCATGTAGATTTATATATAATAATCTAGGCCTAACATGCTTTGGTACTTAGTTAATCATTTTAGAAGAAACTGCTGATACATGAACTGCTCCTGGGCCCTATCAAGCACTTCTGGACTCCACAGTAATTCTCTCCAGCCAATATTTGAGCAATTAATATACTACTGCCAAAGTATATTAACTTATCGTAATGGGAAAAGCAGATTTTCAAGAGTCTCATTCCCATAGGAGCTCAGAGATGGAAAACAAGTAAAATATTTTGTAATTAATACCACAATACTTTCAAGTAAAATCTAGTCATTTAAAAATACTCTCAATAAAGTAATTTTTGTCAACACTAGTGGTTGACATCAGTCTTAAATAATAAAGAAATTCTGAAAAGAAGCTAAAGGTCTCCAAGTCTACAAAAATCTTCACCACATCACAAAATAAAATACACATACCCTAAAACGACAGCAGCTCTCCCTGACCTATTTTGTCCATTCTCTAAAACAATAGGTAATTCCTAAAATGTGTGACATAGGATGGGGAGGTGAGGGGTACCCAGAGTTAATCTATATGTATAAATAGTACTGTCTGTAAAGTAAACTACCATTGTGTAGGAATTTAAGAAATGTTTTAAAGCAAAAAAAAAAAAAAAAAGCCTTTATACTCAAATATACTAGGAAGCTATCTATGCTCCAGAGAAATACAAGAAGGAGCCAATGTAAAATAAAGTTTCAGTCATGGGATGAGGACCATGCAATAAAAAGGCAGACCTCCAGGAGTCCTTGATAAATGTGGGTCTGACAAAGTTATGGGTCTCTTCTCCCTTTGGTCATTATTCATGAAAGGCATTTTTTAAACACTGAGTATGTTGTCCCCCAAACACACCCACGCACTCGTGTCTCCCTGCCTCTGCCTGTACTATTTCGTCCACATGGAACAGTCATGTCCTGTCCTCATCTTCTCTGACCCCCTTCTTCCCTCTCAGTTTGCTACAATCCTCTTCAGACTTTTCATACCAAATGCCATTTTTTGGGTGGTGTTGCCCCAGGGTGTCTCCTGGGTTGAATTCATCTCTCTTTCCCCTACGCTCCAGGGTATTTTAATACGTACCTATTGTGCCTTACGTTTATGTTTCTGCCTCCCCCATGAAGTTAGGAAATCCGTCTCATTTATCCTTATACTACAAAGTGGCACAAGTAAAGAAGACATTCAATAGATGTTTGTTGAAGTCAAAGCAAAACAAACTCACAGCTGTGCTTTTCTGTTTCACCATAGAAACATCCTCTACAGCAACCCTTTATGAACTCTGCTGCCATTATATTCAATTTCCAATATCCAGCAAAATATGTAAGCTTCCAGTTTTAATATTAATCTGTTGGTAGAATAGAAAACAAGTTAAAACGATCATGCTTAAAGCATTAGGTGTCACTAAATAAATATTATGTGTCTTTCTACAAAGTTCAAATGTTCACAGCAAAATAGATTTTTATTCCTATATATAATTTTGTATAACCTGGACTCTTTATAAGTTAATAAGATGACATGCTTAAAAATTACTAAATGAACAATCTCAATGTTAAATATGAAAGAAAAATTCCACTCAGTTTTCTCTTTAGCTTCGTATACCTACATTGACGTCCAAGCAAAATTTGAAAGATAATATAGTACTGTTCAAAAAGGATGAGAAAAATTTCACTTCCTTCAAATCAATTCTTCTGTAAACCCCAAGGCCGCAGAATGGGGGCCAATAAAACTTCATACTTTGAGTTAGTTTAATGCTTAGAATTACACTAACAGAAAAAAATCTTAAACACAGTATCACACACACAAGTTACCAGCTAAGTCACAAATACAATATATTGGAAAATAAAGGGAGTCTGTTTTAAATTTACCAGAAATATAAAATTATATAAGAATTTCGTGTCCAATTGCCCACCTTGATCTCAATGACTGTTCTAAATGCACTCACTTCACTTATATCTACCTAAACTTTGTACATTTTCATGGGAAATTTCAAATGTATACAAAAGAACATAGAACAGTGTAACAAAACCCCTATCACCCAAACTAAATATCAACTCATGGCAAATCTTAATTCAGCTCTACTTCCTCACTCAACCTGTCCTTTCGGTTCTTTTGAAATAAATTCCAATCATGTAATTTCATTCATAAATACTTAAGTAATTCTCTCTAAAAGATGTGGCAGAAGGCCCTCAAAAGTTAACTTCAAGAAGCTATCGTTGGCTAAAAATGGATCAATTTCAACAACAAAACAAATAGGAACTATAATAGATGCTAACATATCAAATATCTTTTAGAAGTACTTTAAAAACATAACCATAATAGCATTATCACATCTAAAATAATATAATCAACTACCCAGTCAGCATTTAAATGTCTCCTATGGTGGCAAATTTTTTTATAGTTGTTTCATTCAAATCAAGATCAAAATTTGGATTGTTTCCAGTCTTTTGCTATTAGAAATAGTGACACAGTAGCTTTGTGCACACATATTTTCAGATATTTCCCAGTATATATCTGTAAGATAGATTCCTAGAGATATGACTACTGGGTGAAAAGGTAGATAGACATGTGTAATTTTAATACTAATAAATTTCTCTCTGAAATTGGCCATTTGCATTCCCAGTAGCAATGTATGATGAGAGTGCCTATTTCTGCCAACAAAGTGTCAAAATGCTGAACTTTCGCCAATCTGATTAAAAAACAGAAATGATATCTTATGTTGTTTTAATTTGTGTCTCTCTTATAATAAGTGAGGTTGGGCACCTATTCATATAAGGCTGACCTATGAGCTCGCTCTTATCTCTCGACCATCTTTCTATAAAGCGATTGGTCCTTTTCTTATTCAGTTCTAGAGGATCTTTGTATATTTGAGATTAACCCATTGTCCATGATATAAGCATTCTTCTAGTTTGTCATTGTCTTTTTACTTTGATCATGGTGTTTTCTGCTATGTAAGAGAGAGGAGGGGATGCTGCTTTTATTACACAATAGACTAAATTTCCACCTGCAAATAGATTTATTTCTCTATTTTCTATTGCCTTCAATTGCTCTGTATTTTCCTGCACCAATACCACATATTTTTAATTATAAAGGCTTATAATATGTTTTAATATCTCTAATAGTAGGGCCAGCCTCACACCCTTACTGATCTGCAACTGCAGGGCTTTCCTAGCTGTTCTTGCTTGTCTGTTCTTGCAAATGAACTTTATAATCTCTCTAGCTCTAGGAGGGAAAATCTAATGGTACTTTCGCTAGGTTAATGTTAAATTTATAAATTGTTTTAGAAAAAAATTGACATCTTTAGGGTGTTGAGTTTTCCCACCCATAAATATGTATATCTTTACATTTGTTCAAGTCTATGTTTGTATCTTTGGGAGTTTTCATAGTTTTCCTTACATAAATTTTGAACTTTTCTTGTTAAGCGTATGCCTGTAAAATTTGTTTAACTCTTATAATAGCACCTTTTCTTCCATTACATGTTATAACTGATTTCAGTTTTAAAAATTTATACATTTTCAAAAGCCCTTTTCAGCCCCACTTTAGAGCATTCCTTGACCACTCCGGTCATACAAATTTCTCTCATCTCTAAACATTCAGTGCACTTAAAAAAATAATTACATTTTTCTTGACATTCACGAGACCTGAGACGTGTTCCATTTTCCCAGCTAGAATATAAAGTGTTCAGAATAATGTTGTACACACTTTATACTTAACATTCAGCCCCCTGTATGATGCTGGGCCTATAGCTGGAACTCAAAAAATATGTAGTTGATAGATAAGAAAACAAAGTACAATAACTAGCTCACATAAAAACAAGTAATATGCTCATCAGACTACAAATCTGACCCCAGTCAGCTTGCAAATACTTTACATTAATCATGAAGGGAATGTGGGAGGACTGGTTAAAAGTGACTGCAACTTCTGGGGGAAAAGTCCTCCATGTTGATGGCCTTAAGTCATCTCAAATGAGTCGGTGAAGATGCGGGAGGGATGCAGAAAAGGAAACAGGTTTACATGCGTAAGAATAAGGCAGCTAGGGTTTGCATGACAGACTACTGAACAGTGCAGAGGTACACACGGCGAGAACCAGACATGAGCAGAGGTTCCACCTCAGGTATTGAACAGAACACAGATCAGAGCATGCATACAAAGACTCTACACAAGACTGGGGGAAACCACTAGAAANTGATGTGAATAAAACAAATTACAAAACTATGTACAATAATACCTTGGTTTGCGAGCACAATTCATTCCGGAAACAAACAACTCATATAGCAAGACATCTCTCGTTTACCATGTTAAAATGTATTAGAAATGTTTGTTCGTCTTGCAGAACACTCGCAAACCAAGTTACTCGCAATCCAAGGTTTTACTGTATATAGTTTAATACGAGTGTTGTTAAACAAGTATGAGAGAAAGACAAAAATCAACTGATCATGGTATCTGTGAGCCAGAGCTTTTAAAAACTATTTTTTAAAGACACTACTGATACTTGTACATGAAAAACAAGGTACAGCGTTTCATAAAAAAAAAAAAATTCACTCCTGCCAAACCCAACTCTCCTGTAGATAACAACACTAAACTCTAGACCAAAAACAAAACAAACAAACAAACAAACACCCTGAAGGCACTGGAGAGTGAACAAAAGCAATGCAGACTCTGGGCAGGATTTGACTCTGGGGGAAAAGGGAATCGCACAAAGTTAGTTATCTGTTTTTAATAACTTTTAGCCTGCAGGCAGGCAATGGTTGGCACTGAGCTAGGCAGGTAAAACTCCAATAGAAAATCCAGTCTTTCTGGCCTGAAAAACCAGAAGGCAGGCTTCAGAGCAATCACAGCTGCTAGAACGTATGCTGGGAATCTTGGAAAGGAGAGCCCGAATTATGGGAGTAAAATCTGCTCAAATATCTGGCTGATCCCTGAACCACACATGTGTGGGATGGACTCCAACTAAGGATAATAAAACTAAGCTGAGGTAAAAGCTGCCACCAACCAAGTTGCACAGTCCAACGAAGTTAACTGCCTGCTGAAAAAAATATAGAAAATAAATAAAAACCCTCAGAGTAATTAATATAACAGATTCTAGATCTATAACATAACATCCAACGTGCAGAATACAATCCAAAGTCACCTGAAACACAAAGAAACAGGAGAATGTAACCCTTTCTCACAGAAAAGACAATACACAGACTCCAAGCCTAGATGACCCAGATGTTAGAATTAGCAGACAAATATGTTAAAGCTCAAAGACATTAAAGAAAACAGGCTCACAATAATGTAAAAAACAAAACAAGCAATCACAGCAAAGACAGAGACTATTGGGTTGTCGGAAAAGTCATGACGTGTTTTTTTCTGTTTTTCGTTGCAAAAATGTGTCATGACTTTTCCGACAACCCAATATAAAAATAGAGCCAAATGTAAATTCTACAACAAAAACACACAATGTCTAAACTATAAAATTCACTGGAGGGGCTTAACAGCTGAATGGAGACAACAAAGGAAAGAGACAATGAACTTGAGAATAGATTCATATTATCCAATCTGAAGAAGAGGGAGAAAAAAGGTTGGAAAAAAAGAAGTCTTCGAGATCCATAAAACAATATCGAAGTCCTACCTATGAGTAACTGGATCCCAGAAGAAGAGATGAAGGATGGGGCAGAAAAAAATATTTGAAGAAAGGTTCTAGATCTCGATAGGAGTTGGATTACATTGGTATGTACATTTGTCAAAACTCAAAAAATACACACTTACAACTGGGC